CATCCAGATGCATATCATAAAAGTAGAATATTAGATGAAGAGATTGCTAAATCTAAAAGCTTAAAAGGTTACACGAGTATTGATAGCTCATTAAATACTCTTGATTTTAACTCTTTCCTCTAAAATGTCAACAAAGGTAAATAAAAGTTCATTATTATCAGTTAATTGGAAATTACTAAAATATCAATTAATTAATTAATGAGTATTAGACTCTAGTAACAATAGTAAACAAAGAATTGATGGATGAGTAATTTAATCTCCACTATAAAATTATTCATTATAATTATTTATCTTTTATATTTTATCCTTATTTCGTTTCTTAAAACTAAATTATAATAATGTTTTAAAACAATAAACTTTTAGATTCTTGTCATTAAAGGCATCATTTTGGTTAATTAACAATCATGGTTCAACTTTTGGGTTACACTTTGTTAGTCAATTGCAAATAACTCAGTGCTTGTCAATAATTAGTTTACAAATTTACTTTAGTTCTCAATTACTGCCCCTTTCTTCCACCTAGACAAATCTGTGAGCTATAAATAAATAAGTATGACCTTTTTACAAAACTCAAGGGCTTCTATAAATTTCCTTTTATTCACTTGTGATTGATTTATTTCAGTCATTTACATTTATTGGCCAATTGCAATCTTGCTTTGGTTTATTGTAAATCAACTTAAGCAGCTTATTTAAGAGCCTCACGTTTACAGCTACAATAATACTATCAGTATTTCCGATTAACCTTTGGATGATACTTTATTAACCAATGTTAGTCCAAACCTTTGCTTAGCAATTAAGTTACTAATCGTTGTTAACACTCACTAATTAACCAATGTTAGTCCTAACCTTGCTTACTAAAGTAAATAAATATGCTTTTTACCAAAGCTTCACGACTGTTACCTTTACCAAGGCATTAAATACACTGTTGCTTTATCAAAGAAAATAAAGACAATTTTTTTATTTTTATTTTAAAAGTTTATTAACAGTTAATTTTATGATTCTATTACAGTTTTATTTTATTAGGATATTAATCATCTATTACTTTTCTCTGCTTTTTCCTTTGCGAGAACCCGAAGTTATCCTTCATTGATCACTACAATAAGGAAGATGAGTTTATTATTGCAAAGTAACTTAATCAATCAATATTGATGTTATAAAAACTTTCATGATTATTTACATGATAATTTGATAATGTACATGTAAACTCGATAAGTTGGTCATTTATTTATATTATCAACAATTGATTGCTGTGTTTACTTATCGAGTTTACATGCGTAATTGTAAAAAGCTTTTGCGTAAACTAAAATTAAACATAATATTAATAAAGTATCGAATCCCCTAACCAATGATTTTATCTATCCCGATCATGTATCACGCTATTAATATTAATGTAAGGAATGTTCAAGTTTAGTAAATGAGTGTGTGGGGAACTGGAAATTTATATTCAACAAAAAATATATATTACAAGTTTTTTTGTGGGCTTTCATATTTATCAGCCATTAAAGCAATTTTACTCGCGTCATTTTTGACTTAATGGTAGCGAATTTGACGTAATAGGTTTGCAACTTTGGTAACATTTCGTCAAACTATACTAGAGCTAATTCTATTTAGTAACAAATTAATTTGTTGTCCCGCATCAGAGAAAAGAACTGACCAAAATATTTTTTTGACTAAAATAGTAAGTATTGGGAATTTTTTTCATTATCACACACACCACCATTTTGATGCTTCATTAAGCAGTGAATATAGATGAGGAAGATAATAATAGTGTGTGGGTGAAGATAAGGAGCAGATTGTTGTGGTGATGGTGATGGGTTTAGATATTAAGACGTGAATGGTATTATTAATGATGATAACGGGATTGAATTATTATGTTTAATAATGGATTACTGTAATTATTATTATTACTAGAATGTGTAATGGATTTGTGAAATTAAAATTAAAATTGTTTCAAATATTCTTATTATAATTTATTTTATTGTTTTTGTTATATGCTTATAACGTTTAGAATGAAATATGTATGTTCATTTTAAAAACCAGCGACTTCTAATATTAAAATTGGTTCAAATATTACTATGCTATTATTATTACATATAGAATGAAATAGATATGTATGAATTTGTTCGTTAGGTTATGGCACTTATTATTATTTATTATTATTATTATTATATTATTTGTCTCCCTCATGATTTTTTTCGATTAAATGGATATTAATATATTTATAATAATAACAATAAATAAGTGATATTTTTTACCACGATCGCATGTTATTTTCCTAATACGACGTGATTTGCAAATTTATCTCTCGTGACCATTTAATAAAATTTAAAGTTTTATAGATGACGATGATCAAGGTCCATTAACACATAAATACTTCCAAGCTTTCAAGATAATAATAATAATAATAATAATGTGTGATAAAGAAGTCTTAAAAAAATTTTTCGACAGTGTAGACCAATCCAAAGATGTTTATGTTGAAAGGTTAAAAGAAGCAGTTGCAATTCCAAGGTAAAAAATACAAGAATTAGAATAAAGCAATTATAATATTAATTTAATTTAATTTAATTTTTTAATTATTTTTAATTATGAATAAACAGCGTAAGTGGTGATTGTCAATACCGAGATGATGTATTTAAAATGAGCGAATGGCTTGTTAAATTATTTCAAAAACTGGGTGTTAGGTTAATAATTAATTTCAAAAAAAAAACTCCAATGGCTCAAATAAATTATATTGTTAATGTTCATGTTCACGTTAAAATAGTTACGAAATTGCTGATATTGGTACTCATCAAATGGCAGGAAAGACTTTAAAGTTACCACCTATTTTATTGGGTACTTATGGAAATGATCCAAAGAAAAAGACTATCCTTGTTTATGGGCATTATGACGTTCAACCTGTAAGAATATTATATATTACGTATATTTTTTTGATAAAATTTGTCATATACATATATATCACTATATATATCATCTATGTTTAATATAATTAAGGCGTTGATTGAAGATGGTTGGGATTCAGATCCTTGGAAACTTACTACTGATTCTAATGGTCGTATGGTAGGAAGAGGCTCTTCGGATGATAAAGGACCAATCATTGGATGGTTAAATGCCATTGAAGCTCATCAAAAAGCAGGAATTGAATTTCCAGTGAATTTGAAAATTTGTTTTGAAGGTGATTTCTTTATTCAATTGTTGTTTTTATTCTTTGCTTGACAATATATATTCAATTCATTATTCTTTTAAATTAATAAAGGAATGGAGGAAAGTGGATCAGAAAATTTAGACGAATTGATTGCTAAAGAAGCAAAAAGATATTTTAAAGATGTGGATGCAGTTTGCATCTCTGATAATTATTGGCTTGGCGTAACTAAACCATGTCTTACATATGGACTTCGAGTAAATATCACATATTATATATTTATATTTTGTAAAGAAATTAAAAAATTCGAACGACTTTGGATAAATGAATATTTATTACTTTTAAATATATTCATAGGGAATTTGTTATTTTGAGCTTATTGTAAGTGGGCCTGGTAGAGATCTTCATTCTGGTGTTTTTGGAGGAACTGTTTATGAACCAATGACGGATTTGGTTTACCTTTTAAGTAAATTGGTAAAACCAAACGGCGAAATTCTAATACCTGGAATTTTAGACGACGTTGCAGCATTAACTGGTAAATTCTGTAATTAATTATTGAGGGAAGAAAAAATTCGTGTATTATTTTTGCAATTATAAATTTTAATATATATATATATATATATGTATTTATTTATAGATGAAGAAAAGGAAACTTATAAATCGATTGATTTTGGTATTCATGAATTGCATTCAGCTATTGGATCCAAAACTAGTCTTTTTGAAGATAAAGAACCAACTTTAATGAATAGGTTATTAATATTGTCATCATAATCGTCATCATCATTACTACTATTATTACTACTGTTAAAAATTTTATCATCGTTAATTATCATTATAGATGGCGTTATCCATCGCTTTCTTTACATGGTATTGAAGGAGCATTTTCTGCATCAGGCGCTAAAACAGTCATACCTTGCAGTGTCAGAGGAAAGTTTTCAATTAGATTAGTACCAGACATGGATCCTGAGCGAGTTAAAAATTTAGCGGAAGATTATTTAAGAAAGGAATTTGAAAAACTCGGAACTAAAAATCAATTTAAATTAGAGACCTTACATGGTGCAAAAGCATGGGTAGCAAGTCCAAATCATTGGAATTTTGGTAAAATATGAGCTTTTATTATTGATAATTGTTATTATTATTATTAAATTTTTTGGTTTTTTTTAGTTGCTGCATCAAAGGCTGTTGAATCAGTTTATAATTGTAGACCAGACTTTACACGTGAAGGTGGATCTATCCCAGTAACTTTGACTTTTCAAGATTTATTAGGAAAAAATGTTCTTTTACTTCCAATGGGTAGAGGCGATGATGTAAGTCCATATTATATTTTATATTTTATATTTTGTGTGTTTTCAAATAACATTCAACTTGAATATTTCTTGATTGACGGGGTTGTTTGATATCTGCTGATTGATTAATTAATTCGTTCATTCACTCATTCATTGAATAATATAGGGAGCTCATTCTACTAATGAAAAACTCGATTTATCTAACTATATACAAGGAATCAAATTGCTTGGTGCTTATTTACATGAAGTTTCAGCAATTAAAACTGATTAATCATTATCACCATTTGCTATTTATAATAACATTTTGTTAATTATTTAATAAATGCTATATATCTCATGATTAAGAAATAAGTTTGCTAAATAATTGTAAATTTAAGCGTGTATATTTTCATAAATGTGTTGTTTAATGGTTTTAGTCTGCTTCTTTTCAAATAATGGACAAGGTGACACAAATTGAACGTGATTCATTATAATATCTAGCGTTTAGAGGGGAACAGCATGAAATTTATATGGTAATAATATGATTTTTAACTAAATACTTTTTTGTACATCCTGGAGACGTGCAAACAAATCTTTTGCTACTTTAATCTATGATACTATGACTAGTGTAATTATTGTTAATATCAATATTATTATCAGTAGTGATGGTAAGTGTATAAGTGAAAGTAAAAGCAGCAGTAACATCATCAGATCGTCATTGTCATTAATATCTTTATCACCAGTTTCACTATTATTATCTTCATCGCTAATGTCACCAGCGCAACAATCATCTTCAATATAACTGTCATAATCATAATTACAATCATCATTGTTATTTTCATTATTATTTTTATCATATTTATAATTTTCTATGATTTTTTTGATTTTATCATCATTGTTATTAATATAGACCCAACAATCTATTATTTAACATTATAAAAAATATTTTAATATAAATAAAAAATAAAAATCAATTATTATATAATGAAAATTATGTACCTTTTAGATTGTTTTGAAAATTTTCGATATTGGAAATTTCAATAATATTGTTGTTCATACTTTTATTTCAAAAGAAAATTAAAGGAAAAAAAAGTATAATTTTTAAGTATGGTGATATAACTTGCTACAATTTATATGAATTATATATAATATGTACTTTATTGTAACAAGTTTACTGATTGACAAAATATTAATTAATTCATTATCTTTAATTCCTTTAATTCCAAAATGTTAAATTGACGCGTGACAGAAAATACACAAGTGTGGTCTATTCAGGGGCCCTGTTTAATAATTATTTCCTTCCCCTGACGCGTTTTATTTTCAAAATAGTTATTTGCTTATAAGTTAATTCTACTTGATAAATAGTGTGATATTAATAATATTGATAATAAATAACACAACAACAACATACTGAAATAATGTCAAATATTCCCACTACTTTTAATATTCTTCCTACGCCTGTTAAATCTTTTCCAGGTTCAAATACTACTGCTACTACTGTCAACACTGCTACTACTGTTAACACTGCTACTATCAACACTGCTACTACTGCTACTATTTCAACTGTAAATGATAATAGGTACAACAATTATAACAATAACCTTGACCATGAAAGATCTTTAATTGTTGATGGTAAGCAATATACATATAATTGTATAGATCAAGGAAAAGTATCTCAAATAAATATTTCATTTTTTTGTTGAATTAATAAGTCAATAATAAGGAATATATACAACTAACATCTTTAGTATCGTCACAATCTGATCTAATAGAATCTAATCATTATTATTATAACGATCACTGTTATAATGATGATGATGATAACTACACCAATAATCATATTTTCAATGAAAGCCCAACACCTTTTCGTAAAATTAATAATAATACGAACATCAACTACATCAAATATAATCCTAACATAGATATTGATCATTGTATTAGTATGAGAGGGGATTTACAAAATTTTATAAATATTGACAACAACAATAACATCAATCAAACACTAACAACACCTTTATTAAATGGCAATAATAATTATTACATAGAAAATAATAATTTTGATTATGATCATATGTTAAACAATAACAATAACAATCATGGCAATTCTAACAACATTATTATTAAAAATAACAACAATAACTATGATGCTAATAATGATGATCCTGAATTTATGCTGACCAGCAAACATAAACTTCCTGAAGTTTCAATGAATACTTGGACAAAAACTAGAAAATTATCTTCTTTACAAGATGTTGTTGAAGATGGTAATAATGATATTCTATTCATGAATTATAGTTGCAATAATAACAATTGTATTAATAACTTTGATGAAACTACATCATCAAGACCGTCTAATTATAATAATGATGGTGGTGGAAACTTTTACAATGGTAACAACAATAATAGTAGTAGTAGTATTAATGTGGAATTTTCAAGATTATCCACAGGATTCAAGGAAATCATTACTCCTACATTTAATGAACCATTGGAAAACCCCTACAAGTGTTTTGATGTTTCTGAACATTCTGCCTCTCTTCCTTTCAATAATACATCAAACAATTCTTCAGAAATCTCTGGATTTACCACGGGTTCTGGGAAAAAAATTGCTCCCATATCTAAAGAATCAAAGGAAAGAGCCTACAAGTGTTTAGGCGATTCTAAACACACTTCTTCTCCTTCTTCCGATAATATATTAAATACTATTTCTGGATTTTCGACTGGATTCAAAAGAAAAATTAAATCTATATCAAAAGAATCAATGAAGGTTTCCGAACATTCTTCTTCAAGCATTAAACCTTCAAAAGACAATGATATGATAAAAGTCAGAACCTCTTTAAAAAGCATTAATAGTAATAGTAACATTGACAATAACAAAAACAACAATTACCATAACAACAGCTCATTAATTGAAACATCAACTACTACAAAGAAATCAAGAAAAAATCAGCATTCAAATTCTGGTTCCAAGCATAATTCAAACAACTACAAAAAACCACCAATCAGATCTCATCAACCTAATCTGAAATTAAGAACTCCACTCAGGTCATTGCATTCATCACAAAATTTTAATAATTCAATGCCACAACCTAGCAAAAACAAAAACAAAAGCAAAAACAAAAACAAAAACAAGAATATAAAATCATTGTCTACATCATCACAAGTGACAGTCTCTCAACCAATTAATGATAACAATGATAACAATAAATTGTTTATTTTATCATCGTCTGTACCTAGAAACACCATTGGAAACATGGTGTATCATCATCCCTTAACATTTAATGAACAAGATTTATTAAATTTTGAAATAACACCGGATGTCTTATACATCAACCCATCAAATGCCACTCTTTACAATTTCACTTGGCCAAAACTTTTTTTAAAATCAAACTGCCAACAACAACAAAAAGCAACATGGGGTCCAAATGAAGCTCTGTCATGTTTAATTAAATGTGGTGCCAATCCTAACCTGATAGATCAACAGTGGGTATTGAATCATTACAAATGGATTGTATGGAAAATAAGTAGCATGATTAGATCATATCCTAATTTATTTCATTGTTGGTTATCATCTGATACAGTACTTGACCAATTAAAATACAGATATGAAAGAGAAATAAATCGTACACAAGGATCTGCTCTTAAATCAATTATAGAAGGGAATGCTTCACCAGCGTGGCCTATGGTTCTGTGCGTATCAGACATAATTGATGATAAAACCACTCCGTTAACACCACCGCCATTATCTTCTTCTTTTTCAATGTCACCAACACCACCATTTTCTCCTGTATCTCCACCTTTCTCCTATATACCAAATTCATCATCATCTGATAGAAAATATATTGATGGTTCAAAACTTTCATTGGAATTGACTGATGGTTGGTATAAAATAAATGCATGTATTGATCCACCATTACAACGAGCTATAGTGAAATCTAAAATAAAAATAGGTTACAAGCTTGAAATTTGTGGTGCAAAGGTTTATGGAAAATCTGTTGGCAAAACTTCAGCTTTAGATGAAACAAACTCCATATGCTTGAAATTATCAGGAAACTCGACGAAACTTGCCCATTGGGACTCCAAGCTTGGATTCAGAAAGTTTAGACCATTTGCTTCATTAAACAGCCTTACTCCAGATGGTGGATTTATTTTTGCAATTGATGTTATAATAATGCGAAAATATCCTTTGATGTACCGTGAAACAACTAAAGATGGAATATATATCATACGCAATGAAAAAGGTGAAGAGTTGGCTCGTAGAAATTTCGCAGAAAAGATACAGGGAAAGATACAATCCTTACTGCAAGACTATGATTGGAGATCGCCACAACAAGATTCTAATAAATTAGAAATAAATGATGACAATAATACTTCAGCAAGCAATGCCAAATTCAAACAACAGAAACAAGTAATTACCAAACAATTAATACAAAGTCTTACATCTGCAGAAGAATTATATAATTTATTGCAGAATAATAGCGAGTATTCTAATCGAATCATTGAATACTTGAGTTTTGATCAGAGTAGATGGTTGAATGATTGGTTGAATAGAAAAGAGATGAGTAATTTAAATGAAAGGAATAAGTGGCTTAATGAGCAATTGGAATCAGTAGATTTGAAAAGTGTTCGTTCTGTTATTCCATTCTTTAAAGTACGTGTGTGTGATTATCACAGTCAATCTAAAGCTATTAGAAAGGCTCAATCAAAAGTTAACAGAGAAGCATTGATCACTATATGGAATCCTGCTAGCTCTTTATATGATTCTATTCATGAGGGACAAAGATATCAGATACATTCGTTGATGGTAGCCAATAATCAATCATATGATCCAAATTTATCATCAACAATTTCTTTGATACATCTGACATCAATAGGACATACAACAATATGGAGAAAACAAAAGGCAGATTTAAATGAAATTAGGAATTCGTTATATAGACCACGGGCTGTTACGATTTATGACGAAGCGTACAGGATAAGAGCAATGACAATGACAATAAGAACGGGTCTAGTTCATCAATGTCAAGAAGAGCATGACATTGTGGTAGTTGTGTTGGCGGTCGGAGAAATAGTAGAGAAGATACGATATGGTATCACTATTGAAATACAAACTGCTATTGCCACAGATATCAGTGGACAGTTTGTGTTTATCGAATTCAATAAATCGTTTTTTATTGATTTAGATAATTTATTAATACCCAAGAACATATTGACTATTATTAACTTAAGACATGCTTATTATGATTCAAATTATAGGGTTCACATGCTTTCAACATGTGATGTGACAGTGATCAAGCAATTTCCTTCTGAAGATTACTTGAAGCAAGCCAGATCAAGGCTTGAATCTTGGGTCAAAGTTAATGGATCAATTCTTAGTGTTTATGAATCTAATGCAAAAAAACTGTGTAAATCACTTTCACCCTAGTTGGTTTAATTGTTTTTTTAATAATTTTTAAATTTTGAGATTAAATATATTTTATAACTTTATTTACACATCCACATGATTGAATTTGGCATCTTGCATTTTCTTCAAGGTAGCAATTGGTAGACAATGCACTTTTACAATCGATCTATTCATGTACTTTTATTACATCTAGATCTTTTTCATGTATTAGTTATATCAATTTTTAATAAAATAATGATTGATCAGAATGTATTTGATGTATTAGTATTTAAAAATTCTATATACAAAAAATTAAATTGTAAGCAGAATTTTATTGTACTAGTAATAAATTTGACTATATAGTAAGTAGAGTTTATTATTACATCATCGGTTTTATTTTTGTACACATCTGATATTGGGTATGATGTGCTATTTAAACATGATTTTTACCTAAAGTCTTAAAGTCTCCTCAGTAACTTGTTTCTTTCTTGCTCATTAGCTTCCCGAAGATTAAGCAATTGATTAAACCTAGCTACAGTATCAGGACTTGGTTGGGTATAAATCATAATTAATTTGAAAGGGAATACGTAACACCAATTAGTTCTAATTGATTGTGTATTTATAACATTTCTAATCTTACATCTGTATTATCAATCTGATGATGTTTATAGTAAAAATTTGCTAAAAAAGGCTTGTGATAAAGAGCATAAAAATAAATGTCGATAGATAATATGTGGTGTTACACTATCAAGTATAGTGTACTTAATAGCTGTTTTTGATTGGTTAGAGATTATACTATTTAGTGTAATGTGTCATCTCCATGGATGAAGCTGGAATGATATATGCAGAATCATACATCAATACACAGATGATCCAAAAAAGAATCCAAGATAATTGATAAGCATTTGTGGGTTGGTAAAATCAAAAACCACGAATTCTCATGGCAGTAGACGATCCTTTAAGTGTATGACTTGGTTGGGACACCCCATTGAAATTAGATGAATGAACCAAGGTTTAACAATCAAATAATTATTTATTTTTTTCGTTATTTATTAATGCAGAAATATAATACATCCTACTCGCCACTTCTTATAATATTGAGAAGATGTACATATCCAGCCTTGTATTGAAATTGAGGTGGATGTGAAAAATAACAAACACGATTTATTATTGCAAAGCAATGACCCCTTGGATCTATCTACACTAGGGATTTTTTGTGCCCCATAAAATATATACAGATAAAATAAAAATCAAAGTAAAAAACTATTAATCATCACGAAATAGCAGTGAATAAAAGTCCAAGATACTAGCCCTCAGGAATACCTTAGGTGATTTTATTTTAAAATAGATATATATGAATAAGTTATATAATTAATAAATCAAATAAATAGATAAATTACATCAAATAGATATATATATATATAATAATTATGCATTACTAACCTGACACATTTCTTCTCAAACTGCTCATAATAATTTATAATGCTCAGCAAGTTCTTTAGCACACATACCATCAGGATGGTAGAAATACTCTAGCCATTTTCTCTGTATAATTGTACATGCCCGATTTTTCTTTGCTGTTTCTCGAATATGTTTAACTCTTTTGATAAGATTCTCTATTCGTAATTCATATTGATAAATAGCTAACCTTGTGTAAATATCATATTCAACTTCTGGTTTTTGTTTAAGCTCCATATACTCTTTGAAACTTATATCACAATGTCTATTTCCAGTACAATTTGTATGCCAATGTTCCTCCATCTTATAATTGTGATATAATGCATATCCTACTCTTTTATCAACATAAACAAACTGATCACAGCTAAAACATATAGCAATGTTCACTTTAACAGCCACACGATAACTGAATCCTTCTGTAGATTCCATCTTTCTAGCAACAATACTTGTATTTCATAAAAACCTATTTTTCTTTGAAACTAGAAATTGCTATTGCAGGCGACTCTGTTGCCACTACCATATATATTATTAATATTAATATATTTTTATTTGTGAAACATTTATCAAGTGACATATAAATAATAAAAATGATAATAATATTTTTAACTGCTGTTGTTTGCAAACTGATGAGCACCATGTACTG